AATTTTTGGAGAAAGATGAAAAAGGGCTTTCTCATAAAATCTTAAGTTTTGTGAGATCTCCAATCAGAAAGATTGGGTTGCTGCTATAGATAAATTAGGTAAGGGTTTCAGCCCCCTTCTCAACATGGATTTAAGAACTAGTAACAACTCAGGTCCCTTAGTAAATGGATGTGTTGCTTTGTCCTTTTAACTTGACAAAGTGAGCAGCTACAGCCCTTTCATCCATAAACTTTTCATGGTCTTTATCCTCACTCGGATATGACCTCAAGTCTTGCAATTGTACTTTGAACTCTTAAACCTTGTAATTACAGTCTTATTGTCACAATGCATATAAAATGCAGGAATACGCTTGCTGTTCATGGGAAACTCAGACATAAGTCTCTTAAGTCATTCAACTTCTAAACTAGTAGTATTCAAAGCACATAGCTCAGCCTCAAAAGTAGACCAAGATAAAATGATCTGCCTGACAGATCTCCAGGCGACCGCACGGTCACCCAAGGTAAATACATACCATGTACAACCATTACAACCAGAGCCCATAACAATCTAGGTACCATCACTGTACTCCTCTAGAAAAGTAGGGTACCTACTATAGTGTAGCGCAAAAGAAATTGTTCCCTTTAGATACCTAAGTATCAAGGGCCTCCCAATGAGTACTATTTGGATAACTAGTGTATCTACTTAATTTAGAGATTGGGTGTCCGCTCTTGTACAATTTGTAAGATAGATCAAGCTTCCAGTGATCTGAGTAAATCTCAACTGAAACATAGAGACCATACTTGCATTCTTGCTGAGAGTTATTAAAGGATTATACAGAGTTTTGATGGGTTTATTGAAGGATTGTATAGAATTTTGACAGATTTACAATTCTTAAAGGTAAATTTCTCAACAATCTTCTCAATGTAATGAGATTGAGAAATTGTTATGCCCTCGACTGATCTAATCAGTTTAAGCCTAAGAATCACGTCAGTGACTCTCATGTCCTTTATAGCAAACTTATAACTCAAGAATGACTTAGTCTCATTGATTATCTCAATATTAGACCTAAACAATAGAATATTATCAACAAAAATGTACAGAAGAATACATGAATTACCACTTTGCCATAAACAAGTCTCAACCATATTGAAACCAAAAGCAATGATAATTGTATCAAACCTTTTTATGCCATTATTTAGAGGCTTGCTTAAGTCCGTACTTAGACTTCATAGTTTACATATTTTTCTTTCATTACCAGGTGCTACAAACCCCTCAGGCTAATCCATATAATTTTCTTCTTCAAGAAAACCATGAAGAAAAGTAAATTTCACATCCATCTGGTAGATGGTGAAATCAAAATTTAAAGTCAATGAAATAAGCATTATGATCATGGTCATTAGGACAACTAGAGAGTAAACATCAAGAAATCAATTTCTTCAACTTGTTTGAGCCCCTTAGCAACAAGTCTGGCCTTAAACTTTTCTATTATTTCATCTAGTTTCAATTTTCCATTAAAGATCCATTTACAGCTAACTGTCTTGCACCCAAGAGGGAGATCAACTAATTCTCATGTCCTATTATATACAACGGAATCCATCTCACCTATTATGGACAACGGAATCCATCTCACTTTTGACAATATTCT